CTGCTGGGACCGTGCTGAGCTGAAGGACAACCCTCCCCAAGCACCTGGGCCATGTCCAGGGTGAAGTTCTCAAAGAGAGTCCAGATGTGGTTGCTGGTGTAGATCTCCTTCATCTCCACCTCTGTGTCCACGTAGCAGTGGTTGACAAAGTTCACGTAGGCCATCTTCACCTGCCAGGGAGGAGGACATGGGGCAACATCAGAAGACAACCGGTGCCAGGCCAACAGCCCCTCCTCGCCCGACACTCCGTACCTCGGTGATGCAATCCTCGTGGGTCACCACCCGCACCACGTCCTCCAGGGGCAGCAGGGACGTGCACTTGATCTCCGTGTAGACATTCTTGCCCTCGGCACAGGCAGCCAGCAGGTCCACCAGCGAGATGTGGTACATCAGGGGGCTGTTCTCCTCCACCCCGTCCCTGGCCGCCGTCATCATCTCCAGAAGGGTGGCCAGAGAGGCCTTGTCGTTGTAGAAAACCACCACGTCATCCCCAGCGTTGGTGAGCTGCAGGGAAGGGTCAATGGTCAGTGCCCTGGAGCAGAAGGGTCAGAAACCTCCACGGCCAACGGTGCCCTCTGCAGCAGAGAAATGAGTGGCAGGCGACATAGTGTTGGGTTGCAGCAGCCAGCGCAGGGCGGGGCGACAGGGTGTTTACAGGGAAAATCAGGCATTTGCAGTGCCATCAAAAATCACAGCTTGTGGCACTTCAAAATTCGCTCTTGAGCATAGCATTGAGCTCCTGGAAGTGTTTCCCACTCCAGGGAGGAGGAGCCGGGGAAGGCTCTTCCTCAAGGAAGAAGCTGATAGTGCAGGTTCCAAGAGCCATGCCCACCCCCCCACTCCTGCCCCACAGGTGGGGAGAGGTGCTCACCTCGGTCATGATCATGTCCTGGCACTTCTTGACGTACTTGCCCTCGGCCTTGATGATGGTGTGCAGGAAGTCGAGGTACTGGACGTGGCGGCCGTGGGTGGCCACGCAGTGGATGAAGTGCTGTGGCACCGTCTCGTTGATCTCCGAGCCGAGTTGTTGAGGAAGATGTGCTGCATCGTCTCTGCCTCCAGCAGCTGCAGACCGAGGGGCAGAGTGAGGACAGGGGGCTGCAGGGACAGTTCTCTCCCTGTCCTGCCCCTTCCTCTCCGGGGTCTCCTTCTGGCTTTTCCATCCCTTGCTCTCAGCCCCAGAAGAGGTGCAGAATTTTCTCCCTGTGCTGCTGCCTGTGACCACCCCTCGGTGTCCTCTCCTTACCCCTGGGGTCAGGAACAGGTTGAGGTGTTTGTGCAGCAAGGCCTGGTTTTCCTGATTGCCAGCACAAAACTTCTGCAGGAACTGGTGGGTGAACTTCAGGATCTCCATCATCTTGGCATCCCCCTGAGGAAGGGAGAGAGGAGAACCACGTGGAGCTGGGAGGGATGGAGCACGGCAGCAGGCCTCAGGACCCACCTCTGGGGGGTCCCTGCATCCCCCACTTGCCCTGGGTGCTCAGGACCAGTTGGTTTCTGCCCACCCACCTTCTCATAGGGGATCTGCAGCAGATCCAGCATCACTTTGTGGGCATCCATGTTCTTCAGCAGGCGCTGCTGCTTCTTGCGCACCTGCTCTCCGACCCCACACATCTTATTGAGCCGCTCCAGGATCTGGGGACAGAGGGACCACGGTGGAGAGGAGCTGAGCTGGAATCCCCGGGATGGACACCAGCACTGGGGCTCACGTGTAATCCAGATGTTCCCTCCCTAAACTCAGGTGCTCCCTGCATTCCTCCCAAATCCTGGCACCCCCTCAGAAATCCTCCTTGCAGCCCCACACAGAGTCCTTGTACCTGGCTTGGGCTCATTTCTACTGAACCATAGCAGAGCTTGGAGATTCCTCTCCAGGATTCCCCACTTCCCTTCCTCCCCCTGCCTCCAGGAACAGCCCAGGGAGGGATTTGGTCTCACTCACCCCCTTGACTATCTGGTAGTTCTCACTGCTCTTCTCTCCCGGCGCGATGACCTCCTCGTCGGCAGTGTGCTGCAAGGGCACAGCAGCAGTGGGTCCCACTGTGCCACTCCACAGCCTGGGGCACAGCTACACCCCACGGGACCCTCCTGGACCCTCCTCCTCCAGGAGAGTGGGAGGCCTTGGATTGAGCTGAGCTGCCCCTCTGCCTCCCACTCCTGCTCCAGTTCCTTGCTCAGGGCTCTCACCTCCTTCTTCTCCTTCTTGTTCCCATCCACTGTGCTGTCCCCTTTGTTGCTGCCCTTCTTGTCCACCCAGAGCTCCGATTTCTCCACCATGGTGCGGAGTTTGTCCAGCTCTGACTTGATCACCTTGTAGTTCTCCACATCCTGGGCTGAGATCAGCAGCTGAACCTGTGTGACATTTCCAGGGGGTTCCAGTCTGGGTCATGAACCCCAATCCCCTCCTCTCCCAGATGCCAAGGACCCACCCCATGTCCTGCACCCACAGCCAAGCACGGGGCACTCAGGGTGCTCCAGAGCAGTGTCCCCCCAGGGTCACCTGTTTGAAGGTGTGCAGCACCTCCTGCCTCTGGCTGAAGTGCTTGAAGAGGAGCTGCAGGGAGCCCGAGATGAGTGGGGGGTAGTCGTGCATCGTCAGGTGGATCAGCACCCGCAGAAACATCCTCCCTCCCTCGTCATCCACCTCCAACATGCTGCTCGTCTTCCTGAAGCCACGCGAAAGCGCTCGGCGTTAGAGCCCCACGGAGCTCACCCGCACTCAGCCACCCCAGGCTGACAGCAGTGGCCTTAGAGCCTCATCTTCCTCACCACCTGCAGCTCTCAGCCTCGGCAGGATGGGCAGGAGGGGAAGAGCCCTATGGCCAGGCTCACCCCAGCGAGACTCACCCCACACCGAACATCGCCTCCGCGTGCTCCCCGATCCGCTCCAGGTTCATGGCTGCGGCTG